TATTTTATATAAATCTATACTATCAGTTTTGATATACGTTTGGCATAGTTACATAGTTTGATTTTTATCATTTCTCCAAAGATTACATAACTAAATTATTGAAATTCAATTTTACACAAAATTTAATTGTTGTAATATTTATTTATTCTTATATTTTAAATCATACCAGTAATTAGAATATAATTAAGGAAATAAGAGCTGATTTGCTTTTGGAAAAATCTAATAATACCTTTTAAAAATTAAACATTATCTACGGATTTTCATCGAAGCGTTTTTTCAGATAGTTATTTTAATCACTATTAGATATTATCTATACTTGCTTCAACTATACCGCGTTCCCATTACTGTGCCGTGACTCCCTATACTGTTTTTTTTTTTTTTTACTATTTTTAAAAAATATATTCTTCCGTACAAATTTGTAGAAAAATATTCCAATTAGCGAGAAATTTCTTTCGTTACATCACTATGAACAAGAGTATTTAAAAAGGAGAAATATTTGTCAAGTGTTCTTAACAACAGCTACCTCAAAAAACTGACATTTATTGTTAATTAAAATATCGAAAAAATCAGCAACGATGTTCCATGAAATATTAAAAATAATATACTCAGTAACTGTTACTTAAAATCAACACGAGCACAGTATGCTAGCTGTTAGGTGACGAAATCCTTTTTTATGAAATAAATGTCAGCGCATTCAATTCATAGAAGAAAAGGGTGTTTAGTTTATCTTTGGTGGCCGTCAATCGTTTAGTTATCTTAGGTAGCAACAGCTGTGGACTGTCATTACGGTCATTATTAAGAGGCAATTTTTAGTAGCTTGTTGATAGATCCATACAATATTGTACTCGCGTAATCTCTATTGACAGTTATATATTTATTAATCTGGTAATGATCAAATTTATATATAGAGTGTTTAGTAAGTAAAGGACGGGATTCTATTGTTCTTGTTGTTTGTAACAATTTACCTGTTTCCTCACTTACTGAACATGCTGTATGTTAATCGTTATTTCTAAAATGATATGAATTCGTTACAAACTATTCCTCAAATGGTTTACATGATGCTTTTCTATTGAAATTCTAGTTTATTATTTATTATGATGATTTTTTCCATCTTTTATATTCTGTATACAATTTCGGCAATAAGTAAATAACTGTAATGTATGTCTACAAAAACTAAAAAACTTTTTTATCTAAAGCTCTAATATATTTATGACTATTTTTATCATTAGACGTTTTTCAGCTTCGCATTTCCATGTGCCTAATTATTATCATACTAATAATTTTCGAAGTACTGGTCTAATGATTATTATTTACCAATCATTTTTTTTTTAATTAGACCATTTTCTATTATATGAGTAAGATAAAAATGTATGTTGCCACCTAAAAAAAAAAGTTAGTACTCCTATAAGGGTTAAATGAGATTAAAAAACATTTATAAATTGAAACATCAATAGTCAGTAGCGGCTCATTGCTTGGACGATCGCACCCCCTACTAAAATTAATTAATAGAAGACAATTAATTGTATATTCTTAATTTTACAATTTATTAAAAATGCCAATTTTTAAATAGTAAAACAGTTACAATATATAAGTCGTGTGCGAACAGTAAAGTTGTTTCCCTCAGTATATGCGGTGCGCATATACACACGAGCAGTGTTTGGACGACCGGCAGCATCGTCCGAGCAAATTCTGAAACTAAAATAATATTAGTATATTACTATATTGATAATTTATTTTTAGAATTAACTATGTTTACAATTATCGTTATTGTCGATTGCTATAATAGTATAATCGCTATTATTACTATTTTTATTTTCTACTGTGACCTTCATAATAATAATAATGATGTGTATTTTGTTTTATTTTATTATATTTAATTTGACAATTTTTTATACCTATGACGCTGTATTATATTAAAAGTCTAACCGCCACTGTTAATATTAGAAAATGATCTAATTAATAAAATGTTCGAAAACAACATTTAAAAAAGGAGTTCAGTAATTATGCATATCTTTAGAACTAAGTCAAAAATATAGATTGGCAAACAAATGCGTAATATGCTTAAGTATGAAAGTAACAACCCGAACATCGCCTTCAGTCTATACGTTAAGAAGACGTTGAAACACGTTTTCGAAAAATGCATTTTAGACACTAAGTACTGCACTTTGAGCAATAACACCCATTATAAAAACGAAAGAGAACAACATTTTGGAGATGATCTCATATTCGTTTGTAGATACATTGTATTAGTAAAGAGTTATAATTGATTGAAGTTTAACTATACTATTGTAACGTACGACGATGAACTTTAAACGGATGACAAATGACACAAAGGCCATCGATTTGCCGTTTTAGGTGGGCAAGGGGGTGAGTAAAGCAAAGACACTAGAGATCAGCTGTCACACGATATAATATAATCAACGGTGTTTGTGACAACTGGTCCACTAAGTCTTTGCTAAAGGCGTTCTGTACCAAACAATATATATGTCGCCATTAAAGTAAATAAGTTTGGTACCCTTATAAAGAATAAGGGATGGACATAAAAAACATTTAACCACTTATAAATCAAAAAATAAATTACACCAAACAAAATCCAAAAAAAAATTGTCAACATTATATTACAATACATTGATTCTTTACATATGAAGAAATTAATTGTTCAAGATTACACCTGGTTACATATAAAACCTAAAATATAGTACAAATAAACTTTATGTTAAGAGAATTATCAAAAACTATTTAATAAGATGTTGAAAATAAGCTAATTTAAGTAATTTTCTAAGAGTAACTTTTTAGATCTTCGTTATTTATATAATTTCTGAGAGATAGTCCAATAATTAAAAATGAATATTTATATAATTTTTGGAATGATTGAAGTTTATAGTGGTATGGCAACATTTTCATCGCAAGGATAGAATCGTGTGGTAATATTAAAAATTGACAATATTTTTAGCATGTTCCGTTATTTATTTTTTTTAATGAAACAAATTAACTATATTTTTTTCGATAGTTGAATAATCACAGTAGATAATTAACTTAGGTAGATATTTATCATGTATGAAATATAATTAAAAAATATTTGAGATAACTCTGGTATTTTTCTACAAAATAAATCATTTTTTCATAAAACTTAAGTTGAAAAAGTTCTATTTTATATACGTATGTTTTAAGTTTATAACGTCCCCTGTATAAGGAATATTTTCCGATTTAAAATTGTATCTAAAAACAACAATTTGTGTTGATTTATACGTAATTCAAAAAGTTATTGCAATTTAAAATTGAAAATATAAAATCGAGAATTTCTACACAAAAATAGCATTTTGTTAGCACACATTAATTTATTTATATTCATATAATAATAATAAAATGTTGAAATTAAATACCTATTACAAGGTTTGTTGGTATTAGTTGTAAGGAATATTTTTAATTGAAGAGATACATTAAATATATATAAAAGTATCGCGATGTTTATTAGGTTCTTCAATTAACTTGATACTACATACTGTATAAATACTCAAATGAACTCCAAAACATGAAACCACAACAAATGTAAATTAAGTGATAAAAATCCATTATCGGTATTAAAAAGAAACTCGAAATAAAAAATAAAATTATGTGATTTATGAGTAAACAAACATATATTTAGATAGTAACGATCGGAGAAAAATTTTCATCCAAATTAACCTGATATTACAACCGAAAAAATGAAAAACATTACAATTTGAAACCAGAAAGAGATATTTCATTTATTTCTGTGGTTTTATTCATAATATAAAATTAAAATAAACAATTAATATAATACATTAGAATTAAAATTTACATTGTTTTTTTTTTCAGAGATATTATAACTGAAATTAATTATTTCATAATAATACACATTGCTAGCGCAATCTAGCGAAAAAAAGGTCTCTCAATGATTCTACATTTTAAAAAGACATAAAAATAATCCGATGACTGGCACCACTATTATCTATTTAAAATAATAATAAAAAAAACGGTAGCACAAAGGGGTCGTGGCACACTATGGACGTGGCTTAGTTGGGAATAGTAAAGATGATATCTGACAGTGATTTAGTTTTTTATGAATTGCTATCACAGTCACGGATTGTTTATTATCATTTGTGACTATCAATAGATATACTTTTTGTATTGTCAGTTAGTGTATTTATAAACTCACAACAATGTACCTTACTATCATTGATAATAAAATGCTGTGTACCTGCTAATATCGATGTCATAAAAAATCAATTAGCTACCTGTATTTGTAATCCCTTGTGTATTATACCTATATATTAACTCAAACATTTGAAACTTTAAATGTTTATATCTAATAAACAAATTAAGTTTTATTAAAAATTCAAATGCCATTTATTATTGAATTAAAAACTCAAACATTTTATTAAATTAAAAATATGTGTTACCATTTAAAAAAACAAAGTTGACACCCTTACCAGGCATAAGGGATGAACTTAAAAAGTATTACATAGTTAATAATTCAAGAATAATGTGTAACTAAAGATAGTAATAAAAATTTTTTTTTTAATTATTATTATTCTGTAAGTAATTGAGTGGGTTATGATAAAAAAATCACCCTGTATAATATAATGTATTATATATTTTTTCAACAAATATCACTAATATTAAAATATTAAACAATATTATTGTTTGTTGATTTATCTATCGAGTTAAAAATATGTAGAAAATATGTAAGAGCAAAATTGATAGAATAAAAATACTACGAGTACCATTTTCGTTATTCGTTTGATTCTTACAAATTATATAACCCTTCAGATTATATACAACAATAATACTCTTACATATTATCTATCGATATTCTAGATCTATTTTTTTTTTAATCATCAATTAATTTTATAAATGTATGTCTCTTTCAATGACAATTATAGTCCCCTAAATTTCCATGGCTACGCCACTATGATTAACAGATTAATTAAAATCATTATAGTAGAAAATTAGGTAATTAAGTATTTTAGCTAAGTATAAAAGCATAAAAAATAAGTTTTATTTTTACATTCAATAAAAAATTATTATTTTAACACTATCTGAAAAATAAGCGATTACACATAAAATCGTCTACTAAATGAACTTGATATAATTCTCCCTGTCTTCATCAATTTCCATCGGCTCTGGAGTATCTTTAAATGAGTCATTAGGATTTAGTCCTTGTTAAAAAAAATACTTATTAAAATTATTATATTACGAATAAATATTAATTTGAAAATTTCATATTAATATTTTATAATAACACAAGGTAAAATAATTATAATTAGTTTCTTATAATTTGTATTTTTAATTAATTTGTAATAATAGCAAAATTCATAAAAATTCTTAATCAACGATTCAATTATTTTACCTTGCCCAAGAAAATCTATTAGCTGTACTTCATCATTGGTGTTAGATTCATTAACCAATTCTAAAAAAAAAAAAATATTTTTTATAATGAAATACAAATATGTTTTTATATAAATAGAACTTTGAAAATACCACTTATAGTAAGAATTGTAACTTTGTTTGTCCTTCATAAAATTTATTACAACTTTCACATTGTATTATAAATTACAATTTTTCATTAATCTTTTGCGGCTTTCTAAGCTCAGTATTTTTGATATTTTTTAGTTTTAAATTAATAATAATTTTAATATAGTTTTAATTTTAAGTAATAACAGCCACAAGTGATTAAATTACGAATAATTATTATTTTGAAAAGACATATTAAAATTTTATAGTAACATAAGGTAGGATAAAAATAATTAGTTTCTTTTAATTTGTACTTCTAGTTAACTTGTAATTATAGCTATATTTATAAAAGTCATTATCGATGATTCAGTCATTTTACCTTTTCCATGAAAATCAATTAGCTGTCCTTCTTCATTGGTGTTAGATTCATTAACCAATTCTAATAAAAAAATAAAATAATTTAACGAAATACAAATATTTCACCTCAATATTTTTGATATTTTTTAGTTTTAAATTAATAATATTTTTAATGTAGTTTTAATTTTAAGTAATAATAGCCACAAGTGATCAATTTTTATTGTACTTTTTGTTAACTTGTAATAATAGCGAAATACATAAAAATTCTTTATCACGTTTCAATCATTTTACCTTGTCCAAGAGAATCAATTAGCTGTACTTCTTCATTGGTGTTAGATTCATTAACCAATTCTAATAAAAAAATAAAGTAATTTAATGAAATACAAACATATTTTTTTTATATAACTAGAATTTTCAAAAAAAACATTTATAGTAAGAATTATACCTTTGTTTGTCCTTCATAAAATTTATTACAACTTTCGCATTGTATTATACATTACGATTTTTCAGTAATTTTTTTGTGGCTTTCTGAGTTAAATATTTTTGAGTGTTAAATTAATAATATTTATAATATAGTTTTAATTTTAGTAATTATAGCCAAAAATAACTAATTTTTATTGTACTATTAGGTAATTTGTTAAAAAAGCAAAATTTATAAAATTCATTATTGACGATTCAATCATATTACCTTGTCCAAGTAAATCAGTCAGCTGTACTTCTTCATTAGTGTTAGATTCATTAACCAATTCTAATGAAAAAATAATTTAATATTATGAAATATAAATATGCTTTTATATAACCAGATTTTGAAAAAACAATTTATAGTAAGAGTTTTATCTTTGTTCGTCCAACATAAAATTTATTACAACTTTCATATTGTATTAGACATTGCGATTTTTTTGTAATTTTTTTGTGGCTTTCTGAGTTTAATATTTTTGAGTTTTAAATTAATAATATTTTTGATATAGTTTTAATTTTAAGTAATAATAGCCACAAGGGATCATTTTTTTTTGTACTTTTAGTTGACATGTAATAATAGCTAAATTCATAAAAATTCATTTTAGACGATTCAATCATTTTACCTTTTCCAAGAAAATCAATTAGCTGTACTCCTTCATTGGTGTTAGATTCATTAACCAATTCTAATGAAAAAATAATTTAATATTATAAAATATAAATATGCTTTTATATAACCAGATTTTGAAAAAACTATTAAAGTATGAGTTTTACCTTCAAATGAATCTATAAGCTCTAGTATCCAACGATTTTTCATTTCTAATACAAAGTCAAAAAAATTCATAAAATGAACATTTATAATTAAATACCGTAAAAATGCATTATCAATTTTCTCTATTATTTTCTCAAAAAAATAGAATTTTTCAATAAGACCGTTAAAGAATATAATATAACATATATACGTAATGACGTATATGTCTGACGTAATGATGTTTAAGTAATATTTCTAAAAAGTGTTTGGGAACAAAAATAAATAATTATAACTTTATTTAGTTTATATTAAAATTTATAAATCAAATTATACCTCTGTTTTGTAGTTCTCTCTGATATGTATCAATAGGTTTTTTAGGTCTTGTAAGAAATTCGATATCTATATTTAAAATATATGCTTTAAGATAGTTTAAAATTATTTTTTTATAAATACATACCCTTAGTTTTATACTTCCATGGTAGAGGTATACCAATTTTTCGTGTTCTTCGATCATGCCGAAAACCTAGTTTATGAAATTTGTTTATAACTATAGAATTCATTTGAAAAATTAATTTTTCACTTAGATAATCGTAGAATTTCAAAGTTATGTCTTCTTTAATTTTCTCTTGGTAATCTTTATTCAAATTTTTCCAAAACGAATCTGAATCAAATGATACTAATCTACAATGCCTATAACAATCATATCCAACGTCAATATTTCTATAATACAAAAACTTTTCAACAAAGTCTATAAAACTTTCCGTGGTTTTTGAATCATTTTCTGTCGGAATAAAGTCTTTTGAAAATATGCTAAATTGTTCTACATTTAATAATGTATTTTCAAAAATAAAATATTTATCCCATGGATCAGTGTGTAAATAGTCCAATACATAAAGCGTTTCTTTCATCAATGTTGCTAAAGATGACATTTTTTGTAAAATGTTCATTAACTTTATAGCGCATTCATATCCAGTTTTTGGATTATCTTTGGAAATCAAATTCTTGCAATGTAATCCAAATTCTAAAAATGTAAAAAATAGTATTTTTAAATCGAATGAGTATGAACAGGCCAATGTTATAGTCAATACTCGAATGTGTCTATTACAATTTCCTTTTGTTACATTTTCTAGGTGATTTTCTAATTTATAATTTGTTTGCCAATACACAATAGATTCCACATCATTTAAATCTTTCCATCCGACATTTTCAATGATACTATTACATATATCTGTGTTTCTTTTTAAGTTTTTTTTTGATTCAGTGAAATATATGAATATGGATAGTAAAGCAAGAATATAAGATTTTTTCATGATCCCTATTTTTTTTAAGTAATGGAATAAGAATGATTATAAAAATGTTTATTACAAATTAAAATATTGAAAAATTTTATGTTCATATATAGATTTTTAAATAATATTCTATAGAAATTACATTATTGTGCTTTAATAAATAACTTGTATATTTATCAAATAAAAACAATTTTTATTATAATCGAAGTACATTTAGATGTAAAAAGTGGGTCAAGTTATACAATAGGAATCAAATATTCTTAAAAATAATTTATTAAAGTATTTTTTATTATATTAACCAAATGACAAATAATTTGAAATAAGTTTATTGGATCACATTTTTTTGAGTTATTCAATTTAAGTTATTTAAATAAATAAATATATTGGTGTATTTAAACACTCATGAAATAAAAATCATACGATAATGAGTAATAAAGCTCAATTTTTAAATAGATGTAGATTTTTTTTGCTATATAGTATTAAGTTAAAAAAAATAATAGCGATTATACAAACATATATTTAAAAATATAATTATGTACATCTCTATGTATAAACAGCGTTTTTTAAACAATTTGAAAAGTTACAAATATCATAAGGAAATTTTTTTTTGGTTTTGCCAACACAGATAAATTTGTAATTTTTCATGGCACACTGAAAAATATAAATCGATAGTCGCCAATCCACCGCGCAATATATGGTTTGGGCCACAATAAGATTTGAAATTATATAATTTTTGAAGTCAATTTAAAATTTTTTGAAAAACAGTAATAAATAAAAAAAATAATTGTTGTTCAATTAAGGTCAGAATTAAAGCAAGTTATTAATTATAATAAGGAATAAAAAGAAAATATTTTTTATAGTTGAACATGTCATTATAATATGAATTACCGAAGTAATCGTAGACTTATATTTAACTGTAGCTGTAACTGATATTTGTTGAGTCTTTGATAGTTGATGCAATCCAATACCTCGTGACAGCTGTCATATAATCATGTTCAATACATAGATACCTTATACAAGGACGTTCATCGTACCATATAAACTGGGGAAGATGATTCTTCAAATGAAAGTATTACAAAATACACGAGTCCATTGAAGATGGAACACGCAAAAAAAAGATGGTTAAGTTAAATTAAGGGGACTTTATTAAATAAACAAGAAATTAGGTTAATACGAGGTAAAAAACCGATCGGTCAAAAAACCTTGTCTACAAATTAAAGGCATCAAAGAAAAAAATAATACAGATATTAATACAAAAAAATGTTATACCTGCTCTTTTATAATTAGAAAATACGATGAACATCTTTTGGGTACTCGTCGGTTATCGAGCGCGGCATAACCGCTAAGTGTGGCGGGAATAGGTCCTAAGATAGCGACTAATTTTAACTTTTTCATTAAACTTAAATTAAAAGATGTTGGGACACCCCGGAATATATTGTTCTACGTCACCACNGACAGGCGTGTTACAATACTACCTGTCTTATTATACAGGGTGTTCAGTAAGTCAGGAAACGGGTTTCTATTGTTCTCATTGTTACAAACAATGAGAACAATAGAAACCCGTTTCCTGACTTACTGAACACCCTGTATAATAAGACAGGTAGTATTGTAACACGCCTGTCATGTCGAGGGGACTAAAAAAATAGAGGCGCTTACAACAAAAATAATTTAAAAAACTCGACATGCGTCCTTATGGCACTAACTAACAAAAAAAAAAACAAAATTCAGGCTAAATACATTTAAAACAAATATACACATAGGCAGTCCCCCAAGATGGCGACACTCGGCTAGCCTTTAAAGTGGGGTTAATAATTTTTATTACACAATTTCGAAAATTATAAAGAATAATTTGAACCAAGATGTATAGTAAATGAGCAGTGCAAATGACGTTCAAGATACGAAATAATACACAGCTGACTATCTCGTACACGCACAAACAAATTAAAACACCTTATCATGATTAAGTGAACGATCAACTAATGTACAATTATACCGAAAAAATGAAAAGGTACTGACACAGCCCGCGTATACTCGAGCAACAGCTCACAAATTTGGAATTGTGCACAACGGACAAACACCCCCAGTTAGGTTAGCTGACGGTCACACAACAGACACGGCCGGCACAGCTACCTTTATAACACAAATTGCGGATTTACAAGTAAAGTTCACGGCTGCTATCTTAGAGAATCTGTGTACTGTGACGTACTACTGGGACACGACTTTCTAACAGAACAGGAATTCTCCTGGGACTACGCTGCATGTACAATTCACTTAGGCGCAACGCGACGCACTACAGCTTGTTGGACACCGAGTACTCGACACACGCTACCCCGACGTAGATCTATCAACACTAGATGCTATATCGACCCACACACGCGCGAACTATCATCACAGATAGTGAAAAACGCGCTACGGCTTTAATGACACGGTGGGATGCACAACGCTCATTGAACACACATCACTCACTTTACTAGTGGCAGCCCGAGAACAGAGGCTGACACCATCACCCTTAGCATCAAACTTGGAGGAGACATCGTTTTTAACAACAAAGTAGCGGCAACAACAATAACAGCACAATAGTGGTGATAATAATAATAAGAGCAGCAACAACACAGTAGCGGTAGCAACATCCGAATTAGCAGCGGTGAAACAGCGACTAGCGGAGAAACCCATGGAATTGGAATACACGCACTCACCCCTTAGATCACCCACAAACAACGTGAGTTTTGCGGCATTCACTGCGATACGCGATTGCCTTCCCGGCCGTCATTAAGTAGACCGGCGGCTTGGCGGGGGGTATTTGACACGGCCCGCGTCGCTTCGTTATACACGATGCCCCGCGTCTCGTGCCACCTTTTTCAGCCGTCGCCCTACTTTGAGTACTTGACTGAACAACACCGCGTGTCATACGGTACGGTGCAACATTAAGAACCGTCACATTGTCATAAAATTATTTTATTACACTTATGTTTTAAAAAACTATCAATATAAAGTATAAAAATTTAACAAAAAAATTTTTTTTAAAACGTGAAATATATAAATAGTTTGTTAACTAACAAATATTACAATTCATAAGGTTAATTATAAAGCAATCACAATTTGAATAAATCACAATAATTGAGCATTATCGTTAAACGAACAATTTATTATTTGCGAGGTATAAAATATAATACATTCTAGAAAAATACAATTAGCATAATAGTTTAAGTAAACAAATATCATCTAAAATATTACAAAAATTGAATATTTAAATTTTTTCTTGGATAAATTTACTGTTTTTTTTTTCATAATAACTAATTAAACTAGTGTCTGAATAATTTTGCTGTAATATAAATTATTATACAGAATCATTTGTAACACACGATATAATTTTTTATCAATAAAAGAGAAATCTTAATTTTTTACAATATGTAAGATAATACTATAAAAAACATCATAAGAATATTTAATTTACTTTTCAAACATACCTGTAGATTATATAAACTTGTATTGAATAATTGAAATTAAAAATAAATTATTTGTGTTGCAGTGCTTAAACCAGCAAATACGTTTTCATGAGGATAAATATAAAATAGTTACGATTTAAATATATTCCAAAAATTGGACATTATTGTTAAACAAATAATTGATTACTTGAGAGATATAAATTTAAATATATTCAAGATAAATTCAATATGCATTATATTCCGAGGTAAATTAATCATTTACAAAATCACGCAAAAATTAAATATTTAAATTTTTTCTTGGATAAATTTACTGTTTTTTTTTTTATTTCATAATATCTAATTAAACTAGAGACCGAATAATTTTACTGTAACAGGTAAAAATGAACTATTATAGCAAAATATTAATTATTTTACTAAAAATAATAATTTTTAATGTTATAACTGTTTATACAAATGATGAATTTAAACATAATACTGAAAATCAAACATCTATAAGTATTGACGATTTGAATATACTCATCGGGGATTATTCTTCATTTATATAGTTAAAATTACAAAAACAAGATTATTACACAGGAATAAATATAGCTCGTCTTATGCCTCAGGCAATGATTTTTACTGAATCAGCAAACGTTCGTCTCATTCATTTTTTAATAAAATTGACAATTTAAGCTGATTCAAATGTTAAAATTCATTTTTTCGACTTAAAAGAAAAAAAAATTGAAATAAATTTAACTTGTGACCTATTTCAGTAGTATTAAATAATATTTATTAAAATCAATGAATAATAAAATCTGAAATCGTAATTTTTAAGTCCAAAATTGTATGTTTTTTTATTTACGACAATCATTTTTACATAGAATATAAGTCGACGGGACAACTTTTTTTTTTTTTGAACTTATAGTACATAACATTAGCTTATTTTTTAACCTATGTTTGAAGCTCGGAGTATTCCTGGAACATTTTCAAAACTTAAGTTGAAAAAATTTGAATCCACCCTAATGGGCAGGTAAAGGGACAGAGTTTCAAAAAATGTATACCAAATGGAAGGGAAATATCTAAGGTTTCAACATAAAAAAGAGTTATTTTGATTTGTTCATTTTTCAATCAATTATGGCAATTTTTAGGGAAAAAAATAACGAAATTTACCGATTTTAAAAATCGTAAATTTTTGTAGGGTAATAATCCCTTGGCTACGCCACTATCCCACATAGCAATGAAATATTTCTAGAATATTCCTAGAATATTTATTTTTGATATTAAAATATTTCTAGAATATAACCAGAATATATTGAAATATTCTCACAATGTTCTCAGAATATACTTTGGCAGCGAATATTACATTCTCACAATATTTTAAAGGTATATTTCTAAAATGTTATAAAAAATATATTGTGACAATATTTTTAAAATGTTTTATAAATATATTAAAAAAATGCAAAAAAATAGGTCGCTATGCGGGATTTGAACCCTTCTAGCGCTTTGGACTCGTACGTGACCCATTGACCCACAGGTTGCTTCGAAAGAAATAGGATAAAAAAGACTATTTAAGGTAGTTCAAATGGTTATTTGTCTGTTAAGTAATTTTTCTTGTTTAAAAAAATTCAAAGTAAATACAATTTTATATTCAATTTAGATTAGATTCATATAATTTTTTTGAAAATCGGCGATCCCATCACCATGATTTCTCCTTGTAAGTTAGAAACTGACTATTATTGTTGATAATATAGAAATATATTCTAACTATAATAAAAAAACTTTTTAGGATTTTTAGTTTCACAGGACAATAATAAGATATAATTGCGTTGATAAAACTAAAAAAATTTTAACTCGATAGGCCTGCAAATAATAGCAACAAGGGTTTTTTACTGTCCCTAACTTACTTAGCTTAATTGAATTAAGTTAATTAAAATTGATACTAATTAGAGAAAATGGCTGTTTACTTATTAAAGATTTAGGAATATGTATATATAATACATAAGTATTATATAACAAGATACCAATATCATCCAAAGATGTAACTAAAGGGAGAAAAGAGGATGGCTTGTGTCTCTTAAGTTACCTCAGTTGGCCAACAAGATATATATTTATAATATTTAAAAAATTATATTGATAATATATTCAACAAATATTTCAAGTTAAATATTCTATATTTATTTTAATTAATATATTTTCATAATATTTATAAGCAAATATTTAAAAAGATATTTTTTAAGCACATTGTAGAAATATTTTCGGTGTAATATACTGTATTTATTCTCTTTAATATATTATCAAAATATACATAAACAAATATTTAAAAAATTATATTGTGAGCATATTATGAAAATATTTCAATAGAATATATTTTTTATTATGTTTAAGAGATATTGTCACAATATTTTATTCAAAATATTTTAAAAAGTATTTTGTAAGAATATTTTGACAATATTAATATATTGAAATTGCTATGTGGGTAGTTCTACATATTAAGTAAAATCAGTCTAGTAAGAAATAGATAATTGAGTATAATATCTATATATCAAAGCATAAACAAATCGTTTCATTTTTACATTCCATAAAAAATAATTATATTAACAATAATTGATAAGATTGACGATTACACATAAAACTATTTACTAAAAAAACTTGATATAATTTTCCCTATTTTCATCAATTTCCACTGAGTCTTGCTTATCTTCATATGAATCTTTAGGTTTTAGTAATTGTTAAAAAAAACTAATTAAAATGATTTTGAGTAAGATTAAGAAAAAATATTTAAAAATAAAATCTAAAAAAACATATTAATTCAATAAAAATGATCAAATTTTCATTTAACACAAATGTGACTCTTGCTAAATATACAGATTAAAACTACAATTATATAGAATTATAACAATTTTAGGAATAATACTTATTGAGTTACTAACACTGTATTCTAAATATATACCAGAACGGGTCGTACCCACCCAACTTACATACCCACTCATTATTTTAAAATGCTTATAATTTTGTTTAAATACTTGATACAAATTTTTTTAAATTTAGGTTTAAAATTTTTCATTAAAATGAATTAATTTTCCTATTATTAATATTTATTATAATATTTATAATATGACTATAATTTCAGAGTTCAGTGATGCAATGAATGGATATTGTTAATTTTAATCATAATCATTTTGTAATTATACAATAAAATTTTGTTTAACTGTAAAAGATGTTATTTGATGTAAATTTAAGACAAGTCATGAAGAGGTTAATTCTTTTTTTAAATTAAAGTATATTACATGAGCATTAAATTAAGGTACATTTATAAGTTTTAGTATTTTTGGAAAATTTTCAAAGTTAATATTTTGTGAAAAAGTTGTTATTTTGAATTTCCCTTGTGGGCAGGTGAAGGGCCTGATTTACAAAAAAAGTATACCAAATAATAGGTAAAGATATCACGCATCTAAAAAAAATATATGTTAATTTGGACATGTTTAATAAAGTTTAGGGAGTTATAAGTAAAAAAATTGAAAAAATGTCGTAAATTCCTGATTTTTAAAATGATAATTTTTTGGGGGATTTTCCTCATTTACAGGGAATGAGGATATTTTTTTTAAATTTTGAGGGTAATGTCTTGGACTCGATACAATTTGTGATCTTTGGAATTATTGTTCATCAAAATTAGTCAGTGAGAGCTGAAAATGAGTAGTATTAGACTATAATACATATCATAATAAAATTAATACCTCTAAGCTTCGCATCGAAGCTAAAAGTATGATGTCAGTTTATCCAGTCTTAGAAATTTTATAACAATCCATATTCATTATCTATTTGGCCATTATTAGAAATTTCTATTTCTTTCAATAGAAGTCATAGTTTGGTTTTTTTGACTACCATTGACATTATTCATTTCACTCTTACAAATTATGCAACCTTTCAAATTATATACAACAATATTGTTCTTACACATTTTCTATTGATATTCTCGATCACTTTTTTTTTTTCAACAATTAATTTTATAAATTTATATCTTTCAATGAAAGTCATAGCCACCTCAGATTTCTTAAATACGCCACTAGTTTTACATATTAAGTAAAATCAGTCTAGTAAGAAATAGGTAATTGAGTATATTAACTAAATATCAAAGCATAAATAAATCGTTTTAATCTTACATTTAATAAAATATTATTATTTTAACATTATCTGATAAGATTGGCGATTATACATAAAACTATTTACTAAAAAAACTTGATATAATTTTCCCTATTTTCATCAATTTCCATTGGGTCTAGATTATCGTCATATGAATCATTGGGCTTAAGTCCTTGTGAAAAAAAAATTAAAATGATTATATTAAGAATAATTATTATTTTGAATATCTCATATTAAAATTTTATAGTAACACAAGGGAGAATAATAATATTAGTTTCTTTTAATTGCACAAATTAATAGTTAACTTGTAATTATAGCAAAATTCATAAAAATCATTATCGACGATTCGTCATTTTACCTTGTCCAAGAAAATCAATTAGCTGTACTTCTTCATTGGAGTTAGATTCATTAACCAATTCTAATAAAAAAATAAAATAATTTTATGAAATACAAATATTTCTTTTTTATATAACTAGAATTTTTGAAAAAACCATTTATAGTAAGAATTATACCTTTGTTTGTCCTTCATATAATTTATTACAACTTTCACATTGTATTATACATTGGGATTTTTCATTAATATTTTGTGGCTTTCTAAGCTCAATTTTATTATTTTGAAAAGACATATTAAAATTTTATAGTAACATAAGGTAGGATAAAAATAATTAGTTTCTTTTAATTTGTACTTCTAGTTAACTTGTAATTATAGCAAAATTTATAAAAGTCATTATCGATGATTCAGTCATTTTACCTTTTCCAAGAAAATCAATTAGCTGTACTTCTTCATTGGTGTTAGATTCATTAACCAATTCTAATAAAAAAATAAAATAATTTAATGAAATACAAACATATTTTTTTTATATTACTAGAATTTTCAAAAAAACCATTTATAGTAAGAATTATACCTTTGTTTGTCCTTCATAAAATTTATTACAACTTTCACATTGTATTATACATTGGGATTTTTCAGTAATTTTTTTGGCTTTAAATGTGTATTATGTTTGTGTTTGAAATTTTTTAGTTTTAAATTTAAAATATTTTTAATATAGTTTAAATTTTAGTAATAATAGTCACAAGTCATCAATTATTATTGTATTTTTAGTTAACTTGTAATATAAGGTAATTAATAAAAATTCATTAACGACGAAATAATCATTTTACCTTGTCCGAGAAAATCTATTAGCTGTACTTTTTCATTGGTGTTAGATTCATTAACCAATTCTAAAAAAAAAATTATTTATTATAATGAAATACAAATATGTTTTTATATAAATAGAACTTTGAAAAAACCATTTATAGTAAGAGTTTTACCTTTGTTTCTTCAACGTAAAAATGTATTACAACTTTTATATTGTATTATACATTGGTATTTTTCAGTAATTTTTTGTGGCTTTCTAAGCTCAGTATTTTTGATATTTTTTAGTTTTAAATCAATAATATCTTTAATATAGTTTTAATTTTAAGTAATAATTGTTGGGTAGAGTGTGGCACGCGTGTATAACCGGTTCGAACGTGTTCATGCTTCGTCCGGTTATCGTTACTTCCTCAGCGAGCGACACAATCTCTTTTGTACGTAAACAGTACACTTGCAGCGTCTAATACTCGGCATCCGTACAATTAGTAACTGCTCGCTTTGTAGTCTTTACTGATTTTGTTCAGTTAGTTTCCGGTCAATAATTTCGCCACAGTCTCAACTTTTCTCAAGCCGACATCAGATAAGTTTGTTAATTTATTATCATTTTGTAATTGTTTTATATCATAAAAGTAATATTGTTTTCGAATGTAAGTTATCCCCCCCCCTTTCCCCTTTACTTTTAAGAATTTCATTTGCAAAACAGTAAATATATTTCTTATTTTATATATATACATAAGCAGGTGTACCTATTTTCTTATCCCTTCTTATTTTACTTTATTTATTATTTTGTTTGCTAACAAAATAAACAACGTTACGCAGTAACAGGCCATTCCCTTTTAATATTAAGGGGCTGCTTATTACAATAATAGCCACAAGTCATCAATTTTTATTGTATTTTTAGTTAACTAGTAAAAAAAGCTAAATTCATTAACGACGATTCAATCATTTTACCTTTTCCAAGAAAATCAGTTAGCTGTACTCCTTCATTGGTGTTAGATTCATTAAGCAATTCTAAAAAAAAAAAATTAATATAATAAAATACCAATATGTTTTTATGTAACTAAAACTTTGAAAAACCATTTATAGTAAGAATTTTACTTTTGTTTGCCCTACGTAACATTTATTACAACTTATAATTGAATTATACATTGAGATTTTTTAGTAATTTTTTGTGGCTTTATATGTGTATTATATTTGTGTTTAATATTTTAGCTTCGATGCGAAGGTAGTGGTTTTACTATGATGTGTTTTTTTTTTTTTGTGTCTGTTATCACTTTTTCTCAGCTCTCACCGAACGGATTTCTTTCAACGATACGTCAAAAGATCACAAATCGTATCTAGTCGAAGAAATTACCCTTAAAAATTGAAAAAAATTCTCTCGTTCCCTGTAAATGGGGGAAACCTCCAAAAAAATTACAAATTTAAAAATCGCTAATTTTCGAAATTTTTTCAATTTTTTTTACTAAAATGTGCCGTAACATTTTCAAAAATGAACATATCAATATAATTTTATTTTTTTATAGATGCTTGATGTCTTTACCTATCATTTGATATATTTATTTGTCAATTTGACCCTTTATCTGCCCACAGGGGGGGATTTAAAAAGACAACTTTTTCACAGAAAATTAACTTTTTCAATTTAAATTTTGAAAGTGTTTCGGAAGGTCTGACACTTTTATATATATCTTAAATTAATGCTAATGTAATATACTTTAATTTGAAAAAAAAAAATTTGACCTCTGGACCTGTCTTCGTGGTGAAAATGGCTACCGAATGCTATTTTTGTGTAATAAATTCTTGATTTTATTTTTTACATTTTTATCTTTATAATGCTATAACTTATTGAAAAGTGTATGGATCCACACAATTTTTTTCTGAGAAATAATATTTTTTAATAAACCCTTTATATACCTTGTCCAAGTAAATCTGTAGGATGTACTTCTTCATTGGTGTTAGATTCATTAACCAAATCTAATAAAAAAAATAGTTTAATATAGTGAAATACAAATATTTCTATGTATAAATAGACTTTGAAAAAAACCATTTATAGTAAGATTTTTACCTTCACCAAATGAATCTATAAGCTTTATTATCCAACGATTTTCCATTTCTATTAAAAAGTCAAAAAACTAATATTATTTAGTTAAAATTTGATAACATAAACATTTAGGATTTAATACGGTAAAAATGCATTATCAATTTTCTTTATGATTTTCTCAAAAAATAGAAGTATTTCAATAAGATCGTTTAAGAATAATTTTCTTAATAATACTTAAATTAAATGACGTATATACGTATAATTACGTAATTAATATTTATAAAAAATATTTAGAATATTTATAACTTATTATTTAGTTTATATTAAAATTTATAATTCAAATTATACCTCTATTATGTTGTTCTCTTGGATTTGCTTCAGAAATGTTATTAGGTCTTGTAAAAAATTTGATATCTATATTAAAAACATATGCTTTTAGATAGTTTTAAATTACTATTTATAAATTCATACCGTTAGTTTTATACTGAGATGGTAGAGGTATACCAATTTGTAGTGTTCTTCGATCATGCCGAAAGCCTAGTCTATGAAATTTGTTTATAATTATGGAATTAATTTTCAAATTGATACTTTCACTTAGATAATCGAAGTATTGCAAAGTTTTTCCTTGGTATTCCTCATTCAATGTATTCCAAAAGGATTCCGTATGAAATGGTTCAAATTTACAATGGATACAACAATCATACGTAGTGTCAATATTTCTATAATGTAAAAACTTTTCAAGAAATTCTATAAATCTTTCCGTTGTTGTTGAATCATTTTTCTTCGGAATATAGCCATTTGAAATTTTTTTAAATTGTTCTAAATTTATAAATAAATTTTCAAAAATAATAGTATTTGTCCAAGAAGAAGTATGTAAATAGTCCAATACATAAAGTGTTTCTTTCATCAATGTTGCTAAAGATGGCATTTTTTGTAAAATGTTCAATAACTTTATAGCGCATTTATATCCAGTTTTTGGATTATTGTTGGAAATAAAATTCTTGCAGTGTTTCCCAAATTCAACGAATATGAAAAATAGTGTTTTTAAATCAATTAAATATGAACAAGCTAATGTTAAAGTCAATACTCGAACTCGTTTATTACAATCCATTTTTATGACATCTTCCCGTTGATATTTTAAACTATACGATTTTTGCAGAAACACTACAGAATTTACATCATTTAATTCTTTCCATCCAACATTTTCTAATATAGTATTACATAATTCGTTGTTTATGTCTATTTTTTTTTTTGATTCAGCTAACATTATGAGCGTGGAGATTGAAGCAAGAATATAAGATTTTTTCATGATCCGTATAATTTTGTGATAATGGAGAAAGAATAATTGTAAAATTGTTTTTTACTTATTGAAATATTGAAAAATTTTATGTTCATATATAGATTTTTAATTAATATTATATAGGATTTACATTATTGTGTATTTATAAATAACTTGAATATTTACCAAATAAAAACAAATTTTATTAGAACCGAAATAAATTTAGAAGTGTAAAGCGGTGCAAATTTACACTATAAGAATCAAATATTCTTAAATTAAAAGATATGGTATTATTGAAATTTTATTAAAACATTTTTAAATATATTGATTAAATTCAAATAATTCTAAAATAGTTTATTGGATCAAATATGTTTGTGTTATTCAGCCTATGTGATCTGATGACGAATTAAATTTTTTTTCGATTATTATAATAATATTATTTAATATATATATAATATTATAATTATTTATAATAATATAAATGATTAAAATCACTATCAAAAATAAACGCTTCGATGCAAATCTTTAGATAGTGTTTAATTTTAAAAATTTAGTGGATTATTCCAAAAGCTACATTATCTGCTAGTTCCTTATTAATATCTCGATTAAGATAAAGTATGTCGAATGAAAAAGGGTTTATTAAAAAATATTATTTCTCATAAAAAAAATGTGTTGATCCATACACTTTTCAATCAGTTATAGCATTATAAAGTTAAAAATATAAAAAATAAAATCGAGAATTTTCACACGAAAATAGCATTCGGTAGCCATTTTTGCCGTGAAAACAAGTCCAGAGGTCAAACTTTTTTTTCATAATAAAGTATATTACATTATCTTTAATTTAAGATATATATAAAAGTGTCAGACCTTCCGGAACATTTTCAAAAGTTAAGTTTAAAAAGTTCATTTTTTGTGAAAAAGTTGTCATTTTAAATCCCCCCCTGTGGGCTGATAAAGAGTCACATTTACAAAAAATATATACCAAATGATAGGTAGAGACATCAAGTATCTATAAAAAAAAAGTTATATTGATTTGTTTTTTTTTTAAAAAGTTATGGTAGTTTTAAGAAAAAAAATTTCGAAAATTTCGAAAATTAGCAATTTTAAATTTGTAATTTTTTTGAGGTTTCCCCCATTTACGGGGTACAAGGGAAATTTTTTCAATTTTTAAGGATAATTTCTTCGACTAGATACGATTTGTGATCGTTGAAAGAATCGGTTCGGTAAGAGCTGAAAAAAAGTGGTAAGAGTAAATAATAAAAAAAAAAACACATCATAGTAAAACCAATACCTTCTCAGCTTCGCATCGAAGCTAAAATAATAATGACTAAACAAATATATATTTATAAATATAATAATGTACATAATTATTTACTATGTACATCACGTGATATAGATACAGTATTTTATTCTTTACTCAATTAACTATTACGGAATGAAGTCAACAATTATTTTTGACGAAATTTAATTTTTTTATACTGAGTGATTCTCAGTATAATTCCTCGATAAGGGATTATAGTCGTCAAATTAATTTTGAAGAAAAAGTTCTAAATGAAGTAAGTGCCTATGCACCACAAATATGATGCGATGAAATTGACAAAGAAATATTTTGAAGAGAGTGATAGATTAAGTGATTGAAGGAAAACCTGGTAATGAGAATGTGATAAAAGTTGTGTTAAGAGTCCGTTTAAAACTTAAGGATCTCGGTCACTCCAAAATTCGGAAGCAATCCGACGTCTGCCCAAATATTGTCCCTATATCCCTAAATGAGTTTTAATTATCCAAAAGGAGACACGGACAATCGTTTACCTTGGTTACTAAAGAGACTATATAAAGTTAAACTATTGTTTTATGTCAACAAAGGAATAAAGTAATATTTTACATGTTCAGTAATTATAAGTTATATATAATGTACAATAAGTCTGATCTGAATCCTGATGCAGTTGGTTATTCGTATATTGAAATAATACTTATTATATCTAGTCTACTAGTCCAACTGTATGGACCGCAAAAATCAGAATCCGATTCGGATACCCGAAAATAATAATAATAAACAATTAGTAAATGTCGAAAAACTTTAAATTGATGTTGCTAATCTTGCGCTAAGTAGTCAATGATTGTTTCAACGTATATTATTTAGTTATTATTCTGTTAGTTATGTTTATGTTATTACATTATAACTTGAAGTACACTGAAATAATGAAAATTTAAATCAGTAGACAAGTTTGCCATGAAAATGGCAGTTTTCGTTTAGGTTGTTAAGTGAACAATAAATGTTTTCTTAGTAATCGACCTGACAATGCGTATAATATATCTAAAAAATAGTTTTTTTTTAATTACAAAAACCATAATTAATATCTTACACTACAATAAATTATATTGAACTGTACTTTTTTTTTTATTTGAATAATAAATAATATACATATAGATTTAACAATAAAATAAAACTGTATGTTTGATTTAAATGATTAGAAAGATAAAACAATAAAATAGTATATCAATTGTTATTCAGTTATTGTAATAATTTTTAAAATGGTCATCTTGAGTTATTTGTTACATCGACTTATGTAAGTACATGATTTAAGTTAATTTAATAAATAACCTTTTTTTTTGTTTAACTTAAATTCAGTATGGAATTATCGCTGTAGTTTGATTTGCTAAATAATAAAATTTTGACTTAACAAATATACCGAA